AATCAGGGAAGCGGCCTATTATGGGACTTAGGCCTTCTTACGGGGGTCAGAGGGGTTGGGGAAGTGGAAGTCTGAAAGGGCACCTGGAGTCACCAACGAGGCAATCTGAGAAGCCGTGAGGCACGTCCAGCCGCCAAAGTGAGTCTGCGGAGAGGCGCCAGAAGAGAAATCGACGGGGAACCGTGGCCTCTGCAGCCAAGCACCCGGGGCCGGGCCAGCTGCTGATGTCTAGGAGTCCGAAACAAGACCCGCGTGCAGCACCGCGGCCAGCAAGGACTGAGCGCACGGCGGTCGCCACACTTGGCCACAGCAACCTTGCAAGAGAAGAGGCTGCTGCTTCCCTTCTGCTTTCAAAATCTCACACGAGTCCCTCTTTGGGTGAATTCTAACTCAGCACCATTCAAGGGAAAGGATTCTGGGAAATGTAGTTCCAGCCTAGCCGACCGGCCGCAAGCCGCACCGCAGACCAGTTCGCTTACTACATCCTTCCGCTTTACCTGGCTGGGTGAATTCTGCTCTCGACAACCGACCCGGCTGACAGAGACTCTGGGCAGTTCTGCGGGGGGCGCCGTCAATGTTTCTGTCAACCCAAGGCCTTTTGTTTAGGCAGTTTCCTACCTTGGGAGTCTTCAGCCGAAGCATCCTGAATCCCACCTTCCCAGCCTTCCTTGCAGTTAAGACGTAGGCATATGACGAGATTTAACCAATCAGCTATTCCCGGCTGGAGACTCAGCCAATCAAATACACTCAAGTGGTATTTTAGACTCAATCCGATACGCTCGGCACAACCTGGGTTTGCTTAACCCAGATTCGCCCGCAGGTGAAAGCAATGGAATTCTGCAAAGTGAATTCTGATGGGTGGGATCCAATCTCGCAAGGAGGCAGGAGGGACAGGCCCAGCGTCATTGGTGAGAGTTGCAATGTCTGGGCCCAGTGGCAGTGACGGGAAGTTCCTGCAGTGTAACTGGGACATTGTTTGTGGCTCTGCAGTCTCCCGGCTGGTCTCTCTGGCCCTCCTTCCCAGAGGTCTGTGAGTCCTGTAATATCCTTTAATAAATTCCTTTCCTGCCAGATTACCTAGAGTGTTGTTTGCAACTAAAACCCTGGCCCCCTTTAAATTCATGGAGGCCTCGAGTCTCAGTTTCCCAGCTGCACAGAGCAGAACAATACCCAGCCTGTGGACAGTGGAGGGGAGTCAGGGAAAGAGGGGCCCCAGAAGGCGTTTTGTGAACTGACCGCCGTGCCGCAGACACGGGGGTCCAGTTTGAGTCCTGGCTCTGGCACTAACCTGTTGTGTCACCTTGGGCAAGTCACTTCCCTCATTCTGCCCCGTGCAGTTATCATGAAGACCAAAGATTACAGGAAGACCCTCAGCACAGAGCTCAGTATGCGGACTGAGCCCACACCCGAGACGCCGGAAGGAATATGGTGACCTTTGTTTCCCTGGATGAAAGAAAATGTAGGGGGTGTCCTGATGTGCCCGAATATGAAAGCTGAAGTTTGGAAAACATTTCTATGTTCGAAACACAACTCTGATTAATGCCACTGAATTGTATACTTAAAAATGGTTTAAAGGGCAAATTTTATTATATATATTTTACTACAATTTCTTTTAAATAATATACCAAAAATCATTGAATTACACACTTCAAATGGGATGGATCATATGGTATGTGAATTATATCTCATTCAAGCTGTTTAAAAAAAACCACCCACCTGGCTTCCCATCCAGTTTGGAGCACAGTGCAAACCCACCCTCTCCCTCCCTCCCTCCGCGAGCCCATCAGCCCCACCCCCCCCCGAA